AATATATGTGTTGAAGTTTATTAGTTTAGGTACCCACCTGTAATTTATCTAAGCAATTTATGTCTAGGTAATTAAACCCCACTCGTGTATATTCTATGTATGATGTATATATATAGCCGAACTCCTTCTGTAATTAGGTTAAGCATTATATACATCATACAGCCGAACTCCTTCTGTAATTAGGTTAAGCATTATAGTAAAACCCTTTGAAGAGTGTTATCTCTCCCGTGAATTAGTCTTGTACTATCAGGGATGTTTGTTTGTGTCGTTTGCTATTCTTTACAATATAATCCTACCACTTGCCATCACAAATTAGCAGTGCAGAACATAAACATTTGGTGTTCGACCGACCGGCGAATCCAAAGCAAGAAAGAAGCAAATACAACTACTTGTTAGTGGAAACCCGCTTCCAACCCAATTTGTCTTTGACGTCGTTGGAGTCGTTATGAGATTTGGACAGCTCGATTGGCCCTTCCATACTGTTGATCATTCTCCAAACCGATAGTAGCTGTGTAGTGCTGCACAAATAGTGCAATAATATCCCCAGTCGTTGCTGCTATTTATATCCATGAACGTACGTACATGACATCAATGCTTCACAACCAAGCAATCAAAAAGGCGGTTTTCACTTCTGTTTGATGGGTTCTTAAGTCATACTCAGAACTCAGAAGCCAAAGCGATTAAGAATTCATGCATGGGTGTTCCTGAAACGTCTTGGGCCCAATTTCCATTAAAAAGGTTAAGAAGTCTTACCAAAATACGTAGACACCCTTTGACGTTTATTACATCGTGACTCATATCAATATTGGACTCATTTTTCTTAATAATTGCTATAGGAACTCGGTAATGGAACGTGGAAGCATGCACGAAGAGAAGTGAACGAAGCGATGGCACATACAATGGCTAGATTGGTTGAGAGTATTGTGTGGGGTAGGTAGACCTCCATGAGTTTGATTAATCAGCCTGAGTTGGATGAATTTTTTATTTTTATTTTTATAAATGGATTCAGAGCATCTCAACCTTCATTCATAACCAGACGGGGTTCGGAGAGCTCCAAAGTGTCGTATAAAATCCAAGATACAAGAGTAGGGTCCGTAGGAGGAAACATGCTATAGCCGAGACGCAATTGGTGACCCCGACTAGCAATGTAGTCTGCACACTTATTACCTTCTCTATAAATATGGGTGAGGGAGACTTCCCAGTCCCTCTGAATTAACTCCTGGAAGCGATGGGAGACTGCTGAGTGGCGATGATCATGGCCATGCTGCCGCTGAAGAATCTCCACTGCACATCGCGAGTCGAGTTGAACATTGACCCTGCGGTAGCCCAGCTCCCAGGCCAGCTGAAGTCCTGCTACAGCGCCTCTCAACTCAGCTCGGGCGATGGAACAAATCCCGAGGTTCATCGCAAATGCCGCAAAGCAGCGTCCTAAATGATCTCTTATCAAGCCACCAGCAGGTGCATGGCCTGATTCAGCGATGACGGAGCCATCTGTGTTGAGAGTAACCCACTTAGGAGGAGGCGGCTGCCATGAGATCAACTCCTCCGTTCTAGCAGGTAGACTAGGCTGATGGATGGCCTTGTCATTGTCCATGGCTGTCTGCACTACATTAATCCAAGCCCGGACGCGCTGTAGGAAAGCTTCAGCTGAGACCACCTTGTCTGCAAATACGGGGTCGTTTCTAGTCCTCCACAGGGACCAGCAGGTAATGCCAAACATGAGGCTGGTGTGCTCTTGTCGAAGGTACTTCAATAGCCACTCTTGGGGATTGAGTCCGAAAAATGTCTGGTGCTCAGAAGGCTGGATAACCTGCAACCAAGTTAACCTCGGGAAAGTACAGTCCCGCAACACATGCAGGAATGTTTCTGAACCGGCCCTGCAGTGGGTGCACAGGGCCGAAGTAGAGAGATGTCTTCGCTCGCGCTCGGCATTGGTGAGGAGACGGGCACGAGCCGCCAGCCAAAGGAAATGACACACTCGAGCAGGCTCGCGCCAGCGCCAGAGGGATTTCCAGTCCGTCGTACAGTTCGCCGTCTCTGCATCGTCCGCAATTGCATAGGCAGATCAGACGCAAAATCCGCCATCCTGCTCAGGTCCCCAGGTTGCCACGTCCTCTCCTGCATTCTCCTGAGGTGGCTGGACACCCATAACCTGCAAAACACCCGCATCTGTCAAGACATGTCTCAGAGCATCAATGTTCCACTCACCTGATTCTGAAGCAAAGGCTGCCACTGAGAGAGTAAGGTCTGGTTCGGGTCCATCCATCCTCGCATGGTCTAGAAGGGTATCACCACTATCCACCCATCTATCATTCCATAAATTTGTAGATGATCCATCCTTGATACACATCCGCATACCCTTTCTCATAACCGGCCAAGCTTTCAGGATTCCCTTCCGTAGATTGGATGTGCGAGACCTCGATTTAGGACGCATGACCCTATGCACAAATTTGAAGTACTTCGCCTGAAGGACGCGCACCCATAGCTCCTCTGGATCTCTGACAAAGGACTAGGCGAGCTTAGCCAAGAATGCAATGTTCAGCTCGTGGACTTTCCAGACGCCAAGTCCCCCATCTTCCTTGGGCCTACACACACCCTCCCAGTGAACGAGGTGGATTTTCTTCGAGTCAGCCGTTGACCCCCAGATGAAACTCCTGATGCGCTTATCGATCTCATCACAAATGGATATGGGCAAGAAAGTTGACTGCATTGCATAGGAGTGTAGAGTATTCAGGACCGAAGTTGCCAATGTTACTCGACCAGCAAGAGTTAGGTTTTTTGCTTTCCACCCTGCCAGTTTGTTATCCGTGCGATCCAAGATGTATCGGTAGGTTTCCTTGGTAACTCGACCATGGAGAACCGGGACGCCCAGATACCTGCCCAGATTCTGAGTTGCCGGGATGCCCAAGATGCCCGACACGGCTGAACTTTCAGATCGCGGAGTATTTTGGGAGAAGAATACCACGGATTTCTCCTTGCTGACGGCCTGCCCTGAAGCTTTGCAAAACCGATCAAGACACTCCATGATGATGTGACCTTGTTTCTCAGAAGCTTCTGCAAACAAAATTAGATTGTCAGTAAAAAACAAATGAGAGAGGGACGGACCACCTGGGGAGGTTTTAATCGGCTTCCATTCTTTCCTGCGGACCGCCTCCTCAATGAGGTGGCTCAGGCACTCCATGCAGAGGGTAAACAAATACGGCGATAGCGGGCACCCCTGTCTCAATCCCCGGGAGGGGGTGAACTTCTCCGTACAGTTCCCATTCCAAAGAACATGCATCGTCGAAGTTGTGATGCAAGCCATGATCACATCCACTAGCTTCTGCGAGAACCCCGCAGCAATTAAAGTTTCCTGAACAAAGGACCAGCTGATCCTATCATACGTCTTCGCCAGATCAATTTTGAAAACCATCTGACCCTTCCGTCCTCTCTTCAGATTCATTGAGTGCACCACCTCCTGGAGGATGATAATGTTACTCGTAATATGCTGCCCCGGGACAAAACTTGTTTGCGTAGGATGGACCAGGCTTCGCATCTCCGGCTTGATCCGTTTGACTATGCATTTCGCCAAAGACTTGTAGACCACATTGCACAGACCGATCGGCCTGAAGTGTTTGATAGACGTTGGGCTCGTCTGCTTCGGAATGAGGGTCAGGAGAGTCACATTAACACTCCGTATAAGCTCCGGATTCTGAAAGCATTTTATCACAAATTCAGCAAAGGAAGACCCCACCACCCTCCACTGTTTCTGGTATAAGATGGGCGGAAACCCGTCCTGTCCTGGGGCCTTAAAACCCCCCATCGCCTTAACCGCACTCCACACTTCCTCTTGTGCGAGCGGTCGAGCAAGCGCCTCAGCAATGGTAGTCGGAATTTTGGTGAAGTCAGCTATCAGCGAGGCCGTGTCCCCCTGCTCCGCGTTGTACAGCACGATAAAAAAGTCCCTGAGTTGGATGAACTAACAACAAGTTCTGATTAATAAAATTTAACAAGTTAAAGATTAAAAAAAAGTATTTATATATCGTCTGTAGAGTTCAACGTCATATACTACGACCTCCGAAATCTCAGTTGTAATAACGAACATATCGAAGGGACAAAAATGTTTGATATTAAACAATAATGTGCAGGTATCGAAAACCTTCATCTCCTTAGAGTATTAATTAGGGGTGTATAAATGATTGTGATGGTAATTGTTAAATCAATTTAAGTCTAAATTCTATTAATCATGGGATATAAAATTTTAACCAAATCGTTCAAATTAATACAATAACCAAATTAACTAAATTAAAGTTTAATTGGTTTGGTTAATTAGTTCATCGTGCTAACCAATATAACATAACATTATCATTAGGTGAGAAAAATCTCTTCTTAACGCATCAATCCATAATATATGTAATGAATAAAACATAACAATCAACTCATAGTTAGTTAACCCATAACATAAATACATGCAACTAATATAATTATCTTACAATAATTAGAAGCAGTCACTAACAAAAATACATAGGGTACTAAATTGGGCGTGTCAGTGTGAATTGTCTTAGGGGTCATTTGGATGAGAAATTCTAATGGATCAATTTGACCCAATTATTTCATTTTGAAACAATCTGGCCAAATTGGTCCGTTTGGCAACATAAAATTTGGATGAAGCAATTTGGCCTTGGAAATTTCATACTGACTCGTTTTGATTCAATTACAATTGTCTGGAGAGGGGCAAACAATTCGAATTGACTCTTTTTAAATAACTCGTTTTCTAAAATGAAATAATTGGCCAATATTTTTTTTTTTCAATTGATCCATTCAAATGACCTCTTAGTCTCTAAGCAATTATCAGAGAATAAAATTATTTTCCCTTTCAAGTTTTCATCCAACGTAATATATTTTTTTTATCTAAATTAGAAGCTCGTATATTGTTGTCCATACTTTCCCAAGAACAAATATAGAATAAAAACAATTATGAGCTTCATAAAAGGATCCAAAATTGAGGAATATTTGAGTCTTGAATACTTATGCAATTATTAAGATATATGGCTGATTTTTTAATTTATTAATTGGTGGTTTGATTGGTTAGCAGTATTTGGAACCAAACTAAACCAAACAACCTAAAAATTTTAATTAGATCAAATCAATTGTCCAAATTAACCAAACCAAATCATAAGAATATTATCGATTAAAATAATTATCACTGTAACCATTTGAACATCCCTAGTTAAAGGGTATTTCAAACAAAATATAAACTTCCTTATGGCTAATGAATCCCATTCTTAGAACACTACCAAAAGTAGTACACATTCTGTGGCGACTGCTAGCTGTGTTGTGCTGCAAAAATAGTGCAATAACATCCTCTGGGCCCTGGCGTTGCTGCTATTTATATCCATGAACACAGGAATTCTCCAATATTCTTCAAGTTTCACTTGGACTTCTACTACTTACTAGACTATTGAATTTTGTATTTATATATGGAGTCCATCATTTTCATCTCAGCTTCAAGTGCCATATACTTCAACCTCTGAAATCTCAGTTGTAATGCCAACTTATCGAAGGGAACAAAAGAGTTTGATATTAAACAATAGTATGCTGGTCTGCAACATCTTCCTCCTTTTAAGGTACAAGTTAAAGGGTATCTTTTACTGTTTTACAAGTTCAAACAAAAAAAAAACAAAGAGACAAACATCCTTATGGTTCATCAATCCAATTTGTACCGGGAAATATTAATGGTTATTAATATCACATTATGTGGCCTATGCTGTGCTGTGCTGTGCTGTGCTGCAATAATTGTGCAATAAAATCCCCAGGCGTTGCTGGGATTTATCTCCATGAACACTAATAAATACTTTCACTAGCAAGCATATCACAAGAAGCCCTCAAACATTGCGGCCAACTGTTTTGAACAACCCTGATAATCAAAGATGACAAATGATGGAAAGAAAAAACGACTTCTTACAATTTTGAGACCCCATTATCGATCTTTCTACTTTCATTTTCTAGCTTTAAGGGCCAAGGTTGCGGCCAGTGAATTGGGATCTAAAGACCGCAATGTAGCTGGAGAGACATGTTCTCCCAACAGCCCCTCACAAAACAAAAACACGAAAACTCCCCTGCTGCTCCAAAACACACATCATCACCAGGCAGGCATGGACCAAGCCGAATTATGTACAGGGAACCGTTTCCGATAAGTTATGCTCCTCGTGATTCCTTCCCTCCTACGTATTTGCGGACTGAGACGGCACCCTAGGGTGGTTATGTTCGCCTTCGTACGTAACAATGAGCATCGATGGTTCTTCCAGGCATCTCTCGACGTGTTTTCTCGCTGGACAACCTCTCATGCTGCTGCACTTGTAGTATCCCCTGCACCACGTTAACAAGGTTTCAGATCATCAGTCAACTGAAAACAACTGTGATATTCAAGATGCAGGCTCTCCCCAAGATTTACTTATCATCAATATCAGAATACTAATAGACAATACGTATTTTTTCTCGTTTTGAACATGCAAGAAGTATACAGAATTCAAGAATAGCTGAACCCTAGGATGGATGCATGCGGCAACATTCTGACATGACATTACTTCCAACACCAATGTAAACAGAATGAAGAAGCGGTGTAGTCACCAAATACCAAGTACTATGACATCAATCTCAATATTTGGGTAAGAATTTCTATGGACTATAGCAATCTAAGAACAACTGGTTCAGCATGCATAAGCATCTATAGATCGAGAAGCTAAGCATGAATTAAATTGGGTTTTTAATAGAACAAGAATATCAGCAGAAGCATATAGAAACATTCATCCAAAGCAGATATCCTTAAATTTAACATTTAAAAGAATATATATACCTAGGGTGAGGAGAACCCTTGATTGGCTTCTGCCCATACTTTCTCCATGAATAGTCGTCAGGAGGAATGTCTGCAAGCTTGTTGCTAATTGCAGGAACCTTGATCGACCTCTTCACCCTATGTTTCCTGTGAGTAGGGGATTGCCAAATAGGAGCACCAGTTGTTAACATACAAATTCAAAGTTCATTGTAAAAGAAGAGGCACGCAACAGTAGATTGTTGACTAGAGTTGAGCAAAGACTAAATGTCGACACCTGGAATAGAAAACTTTACCTCTTCTTAGAACAATGGCACCTGCCACTGCTTCCACATTTCACACTTCCATCTTCACCCCTGGCAGAGCACTTCCTCTTGTGATGCTGCAGCTGTGAACTCTGGTCCGAAGAACGGGGTGCACCGATCAAATGGAATGATGAACTACCTTCCATGTTAGCCACACTACCATCTACACTCAAGGAAGACATGAAAGATCTAGTGGACGACATGGTAGGCGTGCAGCTAGAACTATCAAAATTCAGGTTAATCCCACTATTACTCCTTCTAAACATCATTTCGGCATGCTGCTTCATTTGCTGCTGCCGCTGGAGTTGCAGCCTTTGTAGCTGCTGTTGTTGCTGCTGCTGAAGGAAGTGATAATGTGCAGATGCTGGTTGTTGAGCCACATTGAGTGGGGTTTTCCCATTTGAGCTCAACTCCAAAGAAGGATTTCCCAAGCACAAGGCTGTCTTAGCAGTTGAACCCATTTCTTGAATAGGATGATGGGTTTCAAGGTAACCACTGGTCTGTAGAAACTGGGGACCTTTGGAAGGCGGCAGCGCCTGACCTGCTGCTCGATGAATTGGATTATCCAAGAAAATGTTGTTATTGGACAAAGCAGCAGTGCGGAATGGCTTGACTTTCCGGACCCTAGCATGACCTAAACCAGTATTGAGAAGAGAAACGACTTTCTTGAACTTAAACACAGCATCTCCAGTTTCCACCATCAAATTCCTGTACTGGACTTGATCTTGGGGCTGGGATAACAAATTCAAAACCCTATTGCAGCTCTCTACAGCTGCCCTGTTGGCTTCCTCAACTTCCTCCATTCCAATTTCCCCCAAAAAAGACAAAATAGGCAACTAATCTAAACACCCACCAAAACCCTCACACTATCAACAAAAAACAATGGAAGCTCCCACTCCCTCGAATTTCCAGAATATCTCCAGTTCTTAGAAAGAAATTTTAAAGAACCCCTATTCAGCTTAAGCCAAGTTAATGGGACAAGAACCCTATTCTGATCAAAAGTTGCTTCCCTGGAAATTCTCTGGACCCCAGATTCCAGTTACCGCAGAATGGTTTCACTGCAAGTTGGAGAGATACCAAGATAAGTAAACACACGGAAGAAGACCAAATTCACACCATGGAAAAAATGAATAAAGTGAAAAAAATTATAGCGAAGTAGTGAGTGAGAACACAGACCTTAGAGTGGACTAGCCGCAGTGTAGTCGCTGGACACAAGAGAGAGAGACTGGTGGGTTCATCGTCCGCGGTCTGGGTAAGGATTAGATAGACTAGTAAAAGAAATGTTAGTGTGAAAGGTAAGACTTTTGGCCTTACAAATTCACACCCAGGAACCATTAGCACACAAAGCTCCCATCTTTCTTACTTTTTTCTCTATTTTCTCCAATTTTTAATGGGTTAGGAGAGGAGAGAAGGTTTGGTTGTTGTAAGTCACTCCCACTCCCACTACTGCTCTGCTTTTCTTCTCCTTTCTGCCTCCAAGAAAATTTCTGAGAGAGAGACAGGGAGAGTGATGGTGGAGTTGGAAAAGGTAAATTTGAGACGGAAAAACAGGGAAGAGAGAGGAGGAGGAAGAGGAACAAGGAAGAAATGAGAGATGTAACGAAACTGCCGTTCCTGTCAAAGATTTCAGAAAGTGGGTCCCGCTCCCAAAGACCCTGGTTCTTAATTATTCTCTCTCTCTCTCTCTCTACCTTCTCTGTTGGTATGAGTTAACCTTTTTCTTTTTCTTTCAACTTTCATTGAGACAGAATGACAGTAGGAACTACATGAAGAGACTCCAAAGTCCAAATGGACCTGCAAAATCCTTGTTCTGAAAAAAGCCCAAATTAGTACCTAAACTTTCCTATTTTACTTTTATGCTACATGAGGTTTTGGCTTTTATTAATCACTACCTTGAATTTTTAGTTTTTGTTATTTTGAAGGTTAAGATAAAAGTCGTTGTGTTGGTCCGTCATAACTATCATAAGTCGTTTGTTCCTAATAAGACTAGTTGTTGGGAGAAGTTAATTATGGATTATATACCACTTTACACGTCTTGTCAAATGAAAGTAAACTCACGGGACTTGAAATTTGCATAGACCTATCATACATTGTGTTTATAAGTTATAACGTTAATATTGAGGTTCATGGAAATTCAAACTCATGAACACTTGACAACTTTGATATCAGGTCATAAATTTTTGCCTTAATAATTCGAATTGTTGAAAGAAAATTAATTAGGAATGTGGTAATATTTTACATAAGAGATCAATTTAGTAGTAAAGAACTTGAAAATAGTTTCTTCCTCCGTTGGATGATGGTGTGAATTATAAATAAACAAAAAGCATCCATGAAAGTAGATGCACAAGTAAAATCAACTAATGAGTAATGAGACTCTCTGCATAATAGAACTTGAATTCAACTGAAACACAACGAGAACTCACTCTATTATTTTTGGTAGTTTAGATGGATCGCAATTTATACGAGACAATAAAATCCATTGTCTCTTTTACAAAACGATTAATTTAAAATAAGTAAATTTGAATCGTCTGCCTCCACCCCAGACAAATGTAATTGTCTCAAAACAAGTCAATTTAAAAATATTTAGGCAGAATTACTTCATCAAAATTTTGTGCTGCCAAACGGAACAATTTGGCCATAGTGTTTCAAAACGAAACAATTTACTCAAATTGATCTATTAGAATTCTTATCTAAACGACTTCGCATTTCGTGAATTTTAACTTTTTGATTAGCGGATCGTAATCGCTAATGCGAGGCTTATTGTCAACTTAATTTTCAAATTTGTTCGGGTTAGTCCGGATTCATGCATGGTCTGAATTTTTTCGTGCTTATCGGTTTAAACTGCAAGTAAAACTTACTTGACGTATGGAAAGTAAATATCAAACTCATTTAGTCATGATTGTCCCTCTAATAAGAAAACAGTTCAACCAAAACATAAAGAGTTTCTAAATTGTTTGAAAAAAGGTGAAGCAAACCTAAATAAAAGAAAAGTTTAGTGATATCTCTTTCTCTTTTCCTTTTTGACATGCAAACAACTACAGTAACTTATCTTTGCAACGTATTTTTTTGACTATTTTTATGTTACCGTTAACACCAAACGTTACCGGTTACTCGCCTTTCTCTTTTTTGCCTTCTATGTATGTTTTATCTTTTCTTTTCAACGTTTTCCTCTTTTTATAGAAACAGGAGAAGCTTGTGGTTGTGGAGTTGGCATCTCCCGAACCAACAAACAAAGCTTCTGCTTCATCAGCCAACTTACTTAGCTGTGCGATTTTGTTGTATTCTTTGGTAATTTGCATTCCAACATGTAGTTTAGGTCTCCCTTTCCTATGTATCACGCGTTATTACTTTTTCTTTTGATTATCCGTTTTGCTGGTGGGATTTGAGTGTAGGGTTGTTAATGAATCAAGCCGCTCATGAATGGCTCGATAAAAAATCGTTCGACACTCGATTCGTCTTAATCGAGTCGGCTCGTGAACAAGCTCGTTAACTAAACGAGCCAAACTCGAGTCATACCATGTTCAGCTCAAAAGCTCGCGAACAAGCTCATTTAATTGTTTGGCATAAAAAAGGATTAGAATTCATGTATTTTATGTATTGAAATTGGGATAAATAGGCAAAATACACTTGTATAGCCAAAACTTTCGCGTTTGTGTCAATAATAGCCAAATTTGGCGAAATACCATTTATAGCCACTTCCGTCCAATTCTTTAACGCCGTTAACGTTAAGTGTGACTGGGCAAACTACGGAGCTTACGTGGCCAGCCACATGGGCATTTTTGTCCAAAATCATATTAGGTGGAAATTGGCTTTTCTTACTATTATTAAATTAATGAACAAAAAAGAAAAAAAAACCTTTTATTTCTCTCGTAAATCCAAAGGTTAAACCCTACACCGTGGACAACAAAAACAAAAATATCAAAGTCCCTCTGATATACTCCTCCATCGTCACAAGTCTCCCTGCCGCATCATCCTCTCCGAAGACAATCCACCGCAGCGACGCCACCGCACTGCCAATCCAACGCAGCATCCTCTGCACTGTAGCGACGCCATCCCGCCGCCACAGCTTCCCTTTCTTGTTCTCGCTACCCGTTATCTCCCTGGCATGCTGAACTCGCACGACGTCTCGTCGAAGGAGAAGCTCCTCGAAGAGTACCAAAAGCTCTCCGTCTCATCGACGACGTCGTCTTCTTCTTCCTCCTCCTTCTCGCCGCAAGGCGCCACCACAATTTTGTCCCCTTTTTCAATTTAGGGTTCTGAGATTCCGGGTTCAGGTCTCCGCCGACGCCGCCCGACCCGAAATCGCAGCTGTGGAGGCCGATTTTTTCGCATAATTGGTCCTCGCTTGTCACTTGGCATCGTTCCTCACCGCGAATTCCATCGAGTCGCTGCTGCGATCCGTGGTCGACAAGTCGTGGAACGGCGACGACCTCGAGTAATTCGGCGCCATCCTGCTGAGGGGCGGGCGGCAGCGGCGGTTGTTGTTGGCGAAGCCGAGGTCGTTCGTGGTGGTGGGCGGCGGAGAGGGGAACTTGGAGAAGTTGATGTCGCAGGAGAGGCGGTAGGCGGTTGGGGATGAACCCTAAAATTGAATTTGGGGAAAGTTGGGGAAGATGTGGGAAGCAGATGGGTTCAGGGTATGTGAGGGAGGATAACAATTTTTTTAATTTATAATTTAATGTAGTAATTAAATATTAAATAATTAAAATATCTGACGTGTCACTATTTGCTTAGTTGTCGCTGACGTGGCTGATGATTTGGCGCCTCGTTAGCCGACCGTCAAATAAGTTGACGGAGTTATTAACACCGTCATAGTTTCTAACGGAAATGGCTATATTTGGCACGCAACATCTTTCAAAAGTGGCTATTAGTGGTATTTCGCCAAAACTGGCTATAAGTGGCACAAACGTAAAGTTTTGGCTATGCAAGTGTATTTTGCCGGATAAATATTGTGTTTTAGTTTGATAGACTTTGCTACAGGTTTGAATGTAATTTTGTGCTCAGTTCTAAGTCAATTTTGAGCTATCATGAACATTTTATGAGCTGAACTCGATTTTGGGCTCGTTAAAATTATTTGACGAGCCGAGCTCGAGTCGAGTTCGACCTTTCATTTTCATAAACGAGCCGAGCTAGAGCTTGTATATTAAAGCTCGTGACACGAGCCGAGCTCGAGCCTGGAAATATATTAACGAGCTGAGCCCGAACTATGGCAAAGTTCGGGTCGATTCGGCTCATTAACAGCCCTATTTGAGTGATAGATTTGACACTCAAATCCCAAGTATCAATGACTTGGCACAAAATCTATTGTTTGCTAAGGGACTCAAATCCGTGGATCCACGGATTTGAGTCATTTTCTTAAATCAAAATTCGTGGACCCCACGGATTTGCAAATCCTACATTTCATTTGAGATTTGATAATAGAAGGCAAAGTTGTGAGACAAATTCATCATAAATCCGTGATAAAAATGAAGTTTTTGGTCCATGAAATTTTTGTGATGGAATTGATCAATTTGGTTTTTGGATAAAACCATTGTTTGCTTGATGGATTTCATGATGGATTTTGCATAATTATATTTTTGGTTATATTATGAATTTACCTATCTACCCTTACTATCTCTTATTTATTGTTAGAAACAAAACAAAATGATGATAAAATAGTAAATAACCATCATGGACTTGAGACACCCACACAAATCCCACCCTTTGAGATGGAATTTCCAAGTCTGTGGGGTCCACGGATTTGCACCCAAAAAAATTGTGTGCCCTACGGAGTTTTCCCTACTAAATCCATCAAGCAAACGACGGATTGTGTACAAAGTCCATGATAGTTGGTTTTTATGTACCAAATCCATGATGAAATCCGTTAAGCAAACAAGGCCTAAACAAACAATATACTTTTTCAAATCCATCATAAATTCGGGGTAATGACATAAATATTGTTTTTTTTTAAATTTACCACTAATATGGCCAATTAAAAATATTGACACAGATATTGTGTTTTTTAGTAAGGTTTGGGGCGGGACCACCAGAGACTCAGGCGGGGCTGATGTTTTACCCAGTTCTGGGCGCTGGCGCCCCAGTCTCAAGCGGCCCCGCCTCAGTTTTATTTTTACCCAGTCTTAGGCGCTGGCGCCCGAGTCTCCAGCGGCAGCGCCCCACCCTTTTTTTTTAAATACCGAATCTCGGGCCCCCTCCCACCTTATCTCCTCTTCTTCTTCCTTCCTCTTCTTCACTCCACACCACACACACACCCCCCCCCCCACCCCCCACCCCCCGAACCGAAGAGAAGCCCAGCCGCCCGCCGCTAGCGCTGCCGCCCAGGACGGAGGCGCCTTCGCCGCAGAGTCAGGCGTCGCCGCTGCCGAGTGGAGCGCCTCCGCCGAGGCAGAGGCAGAGGGAGACTGAAGCGCAGCCGCGGGAGACTGAAGCGCCGCCGCTGCTGATAGAAGCGCCACCGCCCGAGATGTCCTCCTACGAAGAACCAGTCGCCGCCGGCAGAGGCAGAGGGAGAGGCCGGTGAGGTCGTGGTGGAGTCGGCGGCCGTTTGCGCGGTGAGACTCTCGTCGACGGCTTGATTTCTTTTTAATGTTTTGTGTTTTTTTTTAATGTTTTGTTGCTTTGTTTTTGCAATTCCTAGGCTTATGGATCCTTATTCGATGAGATTACCGCCGACGACAATTGATCCAAGTCCGGTCGATCCGACACTTCTTTGGGGACATGGCCAACATCGTATCAACTCTGTTTGGACAAACGAGGTAAGTATTTGATAATTATTCATGTAAAGTTAATTAGCTAATTAGATTATTTTAGTTGGTGAACTGAATTGTTAAGTGAAATTAGTATAATTTGAAATTAGTATAATTTTATGTTAGATAAGACAGATTAGAATTTATTAGGTGAAATTAGAATTATTACGAATGAAAATGAATTAATATAAGTTTTGTGCACTATAGGCTGGTGATCGATCTTACCATGTTCGAGGTACGACCATTTTAGTACATTACCATGAGCTTTATCGGCCATATCTCGAAGAGGCAGGCTTGTTAAGTGTCGTGCCCCTAATCTCTATGAACCCCGATGCGAGTTTGATTACTGCGCTCGTAGAGCGGTGCCGACCCGAGACGTTGACCTTCCATCTACCGTGTGGTGAGATCACGATCACGTTAGAGGACGTTGTTACACTGTCTAGTCTGGCGATCGACGGTGATGCCGTCGTAGTTGATATACCGGATGAGGAGTGGTCGGCGATCTGTTTGAGACTGTTAGGACGGGTTCAGGCTGATCTTGTAGGCGGTGTCGCTGTTGTTAGGATTGTTTGGCTGAGGGTTGAATTCAATCATCTGCCGGAAAATGCATCACAGGAGGTTATAGAGCAGTTTGCACGAGCTTATGCTCTATCTCTGATTGGAGGTGTACTTTTCCCGGATCGGTCTGGAGGTACGGTGCACCTACAATACCTACTTCTGATTGAGGATTGGGAGAGAGCTGGACGGTTCGCCTGGGGAGCTGCTGTTTTATCCTACCTGTACCGTGAGATGGGTAGGTCGACTTTGCACATTACGCATACCGGCACTTCTCTTAGCGGTGACCTTGGTGGATGGGTCTCCCTACTGCAGTTCTGGGCGTGGAAGCGATTCCCACATCTGGCACCTCGAGATTCAGAGACGAGGGCACAGGCCACCGAGGATGCATCCCCACGTGGTCTTCGATGGCTTTCGGCCAACAGTCGTCAGTATGGTGACCAGCTATTCTAGTACAAGCTGTGATTTGACGCGATGGACACCGTGGTGGTTAGTATATAACATTCCATTTTATAGAATAGTTTTCATTTGTTTTATTTTTTTAGATTTAGGGATAATAACGTCAATATTTTTTTATGTAGTGGCAACCTTACCTTGAGAGAGCACTTCATCTCAGAGGTAGTGTGATACAGTCTGAGACATTTCGAGCAGTAGTGCCACTTATCTGCTTTTCATCGGTGATGTGGCATCATCCAGACCGCGTGCTCCGGCAGTTTGGCATGAGGCAGCATGAGCCTCATCCGCCACATCCCGAGGCTGAGGTTAGGTTTTTTCTTCGCCAGGCTACTCGTGGGCCACTCGCTGAAATATTGAATGACCTGGTTGAGTCGAAGGAACTCTTACCCAATCAATCACCGATGTTGGCATTTTTCTCTTGACCACCCGCAAGAATGTTTGCAAAAAATCGTAGGATTCTTCCCAATTTCCATGCAACTTCTCCAATGCTCTTTGTTTCCCATACCAAGCCTTCTTGTAAGTAACTTGCATATTAAACTTATCTTTCAACTCGGCCTGAACAGTTAGAACACTCAGATTTGGTTGGGCACGTACCAAATGTTTGACGGCCTCAGATATCATGTCGACATCAAGATGGCGACGATCCGTCGGTTGAGTCGTACTGCTACAAGAATGCAACAACTCAGCCTTTCTCACAGTCCATTCGTCCCCAACATCTCGACATCCAAACCGCACCATCCAAGGACAATTGTCATCCTTGTGCCTCAAGCATCTGACCTTCCAGATTGAAGGTGACGACTCCACCACGCCATATTGAAAGTTTCGTTGTAGTGTGTGGTGTTTAATCGCCATTTGTGCAGCTTGTTTCGAGTGAAATATCTGCCCCTTGTAGAATTCTCCTTCAAAACTATCAACAATAGGCATTGGAATTACGCTATATGAATAAGCAAGTGATAATTCTTCGTCCTCTTCATTACCCTGCAAGTAAAAATATGGAGGATAATTAAGCTGCTCTCATTCCTCCTCCTCCTCCTCCTCCTCCTCCTCCTCATCTTCCTCGTCTCTGTCATCACCGTCATCATAGTCATGATCAGATGACACGCTCCATGTATCATCTTCTTCCTCTCCACCCTGATCCTCACTGAGCTCAACATGTATCTCAGCACCCAAACAATAAGGATTTTGTGCCATAAAATTCCAAAGCACATTCAAGCTATCATCATCCACAATAGGTATCGCATAATGAAATAAAACACCATTCTGCCATTCTGGAAGACGGTAAGTGAAACCTGTGATCACATCACTATCTTTTACTGCTTCGTCTCTGCGCCGTATTCTCGGAATTAGATTCTCACAAAGTTTGTGATATGTGACTCTGGATGGAACCGTCAACTGAAAACTACTACCACCAACAAATTTGACGCCCAAATTATCCTCTACTTTCTCCGATTTCCACCGAACAACTAGTTCAAATCTTCTAAAATCCCTACAAAAAAACAAACTCACTAATTAAAACTAAACACAATCATAATAGCATTTGAATAATATAATTACAAAAATAAATGTGTCTCTTACCTATCAGCCATTTTTGCAGCAGCAACCAGAGCTCTCTCCTCTATTTTGGACGATTTTTTTTGTGGTGTGAATCTGAAACGAAATTGTCTGAGTTTTATAGGTGGGTGGCCAGCAATAAGCCAGCGGTGCCACCTCAGTCTCGGGCGCCACCGCCTGGGATGATTTCCCACCTACTCGCCTAGGTCTCAGGCGGTGCCGCCTAAGTCTTGAGCGCCGCCGCTGTCAACTAAATAAAACGGTCCAAAAAAACAAGCTAAAGCGGCAGCGCCTGAGTCTCAGGTGGCCTCGCCGATTCTTTTCTCCAAAACACAATATCTGTGTCAATACTTTTTAATTGGCCATATTAGTGGTAAATTAAAAATAAACAATATTTTTGTCATTAATCCCATAAATTCAAAGGTTTTTAAAACCCAAACCTCTCATTTTCAAATCCAGCAAGCAATTTTTGAGATGTTAGTTAAATATGATCAATGATTAATCTCCCAAAAGAATTCTCAAGCAAAAAAAACAAATATTTCTTTTTATTTGTTGTTGGCTCCAATTTTGAAACCCATAATGTGATAAATGTTTTCACTACATTATCACTAGGTCAATCACTTGAAGTTGAAAATATTTTTTTTCCTTCTCATGTTGTGGTGCTTTCAATTTCCTCAAAGAAAATTTATCTTTATTTATCTAGACCGTAAAAAGAACAATGCAACCATAAAATAGATATTAAAATGTAATGAAAAATCAGTCATTTCTGTTAATACCAAATTTCAATTTTAATTTAGTGGTTGTGATGCTCACTTAGGTCATCGACAACCCATAGGCTAAAAGCACATATTCCCCTTTATCCCCAAAAAAAACGTCTATAACCAATGGCTAAAAGATGGCGGGTTAAAAGGCTAAAAGGGGTTTCGGGAGGGTATTATAGTTCTTATTAGGGTGGGGGACTAAGGAGAGCGGATAAAATGTTGGGACCAAAAGCAGAAACCAACTGTTAGTGTTGTGGTATATGATCCACGATTGAACCTCTCCCAACAACTCGAGTTATTGGGAGCAACTGGTTTTTGACATAGTATTAGAGCCTTCTGTGACCGAGAGGTCTTGTGTTCGATTCCCGGTGACCCCCATTTGTTAAGCACATGGTATTCTTGTCTTCAGACCTGTGCAAACTTCAAGCCCTTGTGAGTGACTTTCGTTTGAAGGGGCGTGTTAGTGTTGTGGTATATGATCCACGATTGAACCTCTCCCAACAATTCGAGTTATTGGGATCAACTTGTTCTTGACATGGTATCAGAGCCTTCTGTGACCGAAAGGTCTTGTGTTCGATTCCTAGTGACCCCCATTTGTTAAGCACATGGTATTTTTGTCTTCAAACCTGTGCAAACTTCAAGCCCTTGTGAGTGACTTTCGTTTGAGGGGTATATTATCCACAATTGAACTTCTCCCAACAACTCGAGTTATTGGGATCAACTGGTTCTTAACACCAACATCTCACCCAATTTAGTACGCACGTGCAATGCACCTTTCCCCAAGAGTGAGTCTCACACTTTTTACTTTCTTTTATTTATTTTGTGTGTATTAATATTTATTTTGTGATATTTATTTAGCCAACAAAATTCATTTCAGTGAAAACTTTGGTCATTCAGTGGCTATTTAAAGTTAATTTTTTTATAAAATAATTGAATTTAAATCCTAATGACTATAATGCACAGGAATAGAAATAACAGCTATAAACGGGTCATAAAACGAAAAAGCTCTCCAAAATCCTCACCCATTTATGCATCATCTCATTTCTCATTCTTTACATTTTTCCTATACATCTAGCCTCAAAAACTTTTTTCTCATCTTATGTTATTTTGGCATGAGCAAGAGAGGAGATTGGTCCGAAGATGAAGAATGTCAAGCTTGGTACAAAATATAATGTGACGGAAACAAAGGCAATGATCAACGATTTTAAAAAAAATAGCAGCGGATCGAGGGGAAGTTCAAAACTGTCATTCCATGTTCCGATCTCTCCCAACAACCGATGGAGCTGTACAAAATCCTTTGCCAAAGAGCGAGTTCTGACTTCTGATTTAGAAAGTAGAACCAAGCATATAGCATCTTATGGTCGATATATTAGGCGAAATACTGATACCGCATATGAGATGTCACAGGAGAAGGACCCCATAAATCTGTATGAACTAAATCAAATGGTTCTTCATAAATTGTCTCACTCGATGCAAAAGAATTCTGAGAAGCTTTTGCTTCAATATAGCTCAAACAATTTGACCATGAACCAATAGAGTGCTCAAATTTATTGGGCAATAAATTTTGACGAAACATCGCCAACAATATAGCCGAATTTGGATGACCTAATCGACAATGCCACAAATCCCAAATTGAAATATTCTTGTTCAAACCTAAGCAGTCGAATTAACAGAAAAATTTGAAACTAGTCCTGTCGAAGAATTCATCAGTGTAGTGGACTTAGTCGGATATGCATCTGACTCGCCAACGTGTACATGCACCCCATGCACATGTTCAAGACCTACATGCACCCCATGCACAATCATCCTCAGTTAACTGCCCTACTGAAAATATATTAGGAAGTAAACTAGGAACATATAAAGTATACGGGAGAGTGATGGCATGTGACGAGGCAGTGCCACGACCATTAAAAAACAAGGGACCACCAATGGCCATCCTAAGATTCATGTGAGAAACAATTTGCAACTTATCAAAGGTAGAACACACATGAGTCATATGATTAAAGTGTCGAATTGAGCAACCACCGAGGAGACTTACCTGACATGGCACCTGTGCTAAAGGCCGAAGTCAAAGGCTCTTGCAACGCCTCTTGTATCATTCTCCTGACTAGCTCTAGACTAAAGGAAGATCCCTCATTGCTACTCGAAGAAGACCCACCCAAAGTCGTAGGAGAATTAGTATCAACATAAACCGAGCAATGTCCTCGTGGTGGAGCACTTCGCGTGGATGAGGAGCCAGCATTGGTAGAACCATGATTGGAAAATCGAATCTTGCCCTTTTTGCTCAACGTTGGCCATTCTAAAACAATGTGACCTGTCTTCTTACAGTAGTGCAGTAGTTATGTTTCTTGTAATGAATTTGAACATGCCCGGGTTCCTGACAAAAGTGACAAAACACCTCTCCCGAGCTCGGTTGGCCGAATTGAGGTCGAGCGGAATTCCCTAAGCTACCAACTACAAAGGCAGATTCCGACGATCAACTATCTATGTGTGTCTGACTCTTCACGAATCAATTCAGCCACAACCTCATTCAGTTTAGTAATGCCACGATGAATCAACGATGCCCTAATTTGCTCATTGTCAGACCACAACTTCACCAAGAATTGCATAAAACGTGGTTGTGTCCTCTCTTTTTGAACCTTAGCAGAGGCGTCCCCAGTCAACAAAGAGGTCGTGACAAGATCATATTCAGTCCAGATGTGCAAACAATGCTTATAGTAGCTTCTTATATCCTGATCTCCTTGAGCAAGACCCGACATATCCCATTCCAATTCATATAAATGAGAGGTATTTGCGCCCGAGAGTACGTACTGCAAATATGCCTCCACATCTCATGGGTTGTCCCAAGTCGACGAAGACTCAATGCTATATGTACATCGAAGGAAGCCAAGAGTGTCATCACGACCTAGGCATTGAGGGTCGCACATTCCTCCTTCTGCTGATGAGTGGCGTCGGCACCAGGCCGCTTCGACTTCCCCATCAATACAGACGACAACTTCTTACCAATAACGAAGTTCCGAAATTGGAACTCACACAACGGGAAGTTGTTCCCATCAAAACTTAGTTGTGACCGTGTCCACTTTATTAGGATCCATTCTCGCAAACTCCAACCAGATTAGCAATCAACGAATGCGCCAGAACCAAACAAACCTAGGTATGGCTGTTGCAACCTTCGCTGCACGAACGCGCAACAACGCCGAACCAAAACCTACTGCGCCAAAGATTGTAGTCAATCAAAAAAATACCAAGCCTCGGATCAGAAGGGCTCTGATACCATATCATACTAAATAAAAAAAACAAGATTTAACGTAGTTTTTCTAAATGCCCGGACTAATCCACGGAGAATCTTAAGTCTCCAAAGTCAATCTTATTATTTAGAGATGCCATTGTGCCAGAGCTTGAACATACGTGCGGTGTGGTCATTAGAATTCATGTAATCTAATCCAAAGAAATTACAAGTGATCAGGTAAGGGGGTTCGCTTTTTTGCCATATATATAATCATTTGGCCACGCTCGATCCATTTTCTCCCTCTTGCTACGAGCCTTTGCCTTTTGTCTTTTTCACTTTACTCCTATAGCTAGCTTCCCCTTCTTTTTTGGTTTGGCTAAAGCTTAAAGCCAATAAAAACTAGAAAAAGCATTGGGATCTGATCATCAGCAGAAGAGGGAATAACCTATAAAGGTGGGCTAGGAAATTCAGCATATATGTGGTTAATAATCATTGATTCATTTCACTATTACCTAGTTGCCTCTCATTAATCTGCGTCAAGAGTGCAAAAGTGGAAGGAAGAGAAATTAGCAATTCCTTCCAGCGACGGATTTGAGGGCGGCTACATGCTTGTTTTTCTCTTGCAATAGCTGTCTGCCATGAATGATCACCGAAAAGCGTAAGAATTGCTTGTAGGCCGTTACGGTTCCTCCATGCATGATACCAAGAAGAAGAAGAATAAGAAAATAATTCGGGCGGTTAAAGTGGATCGCTCAAATGCTTTCATTTCTTTATCACAAACGTCTGGGAAATGGATGGGACGAAAGTCCCCTCAAGAAGTTCCTGGTTTCAGTCCTTGTGTGTAACTTACGATCTTATCGCAGAATTTGCTAACTGAAAGTTCATGGATGATTAACTTCCTTTTCTTTCATTTTTATGATTTATAATTGAGGAAAATAGATCACAAGACAGCACAAAATGTGTTATATTGGGAGATGATCAACAACAAATTATTGGTCTCGTGCGCTTTTTTTCAGAGCACAGATTACTCCTCCTAGTAACGATTTTTAGCTTTTACGGAGAGAGACTTGCTGTTTAGAGGAGTGAGCATATATCATTTATTGATTCGATACAAAATCTAATCAAATAGGGATAGTGTTGAACCAAAAATAAAAGAAAAATCATTTCTGCCGCCGAAATTGATTCTGCTTGTCAATCATCGACCTAGAGTTCCCACACTGTCAGCATGGAGAATATAAAAGCCTAGAAATCAGAATAGCTCTACTGCGAGACAGCCACACAGGCTAGATCCTGCAGGCAAAAGAAATTTTCTTCGAAATGATAGGTTTCACTTTGAAAATCGTATTACTGAGGCAAGAGCATCATGATCTCAAAATTCACTAATCCTGTGCTAAAAGGTTCGCAAACACTCTACTTCTGGTCAGATAGACAAGATCTAATAGATTTACTGCTTACGACCCCTTCCTCTTTTCGTCGCCTGCGTTTCCATCTGCTCTTTTCCGGTAACGTCTGATATATCCGCTGCAATGTTACAGATCAAGAAGGAACCGGAAAATGAGTCAGGCCAATTCAGAGATCATACATACCCCATAATTTACAAACAGAACTTATCCATAGAGCTGCCCTTCTTATGGACAGACGCAACACATCTGGAATCAAGAAGATGGGGTAGTTGGCAGGACCAGGGCAGCCAGTTAAATTTAGTCGAGCTATTAGCAGACAGTGGAAGAATCGAATTCACTGTATTGTGGGACATTATTATTCTTAAAAAGAAATGTTAGAAACTTAGACAAGAAAATTTAGGAAAAGTTATATTATACCATCAGGGCCTCGAGCCATCAGTGTGAAGAATATGTTATTCAGCTTCTCCATCTTCTTAGCATCCTGTGCCTGGTCTGTCTTGAACTTGAGACACTAGCAAAAGGCAAAAACAACGGTGAGGAAGAGAGGGACAAACTGTTCGCTTTGAGTTCGTGCACTTTTGCCTGTTCTTATTCGGAGTAAAAACAATAGAAAACACCAGACAAACCTAACTCTCGTACAGTCAACGAAAGTGACAGGGCAAGATGTGTATGCAACTAATAGAAACTGAAAGCACAAACACAAGGCCAAAGTCTAATTATAAAGAGAACCTACTTCTGTCCTCTAATATATTTATTGCAATTACATTTAAGGCACCAAATCCTAGATTCAGGCAAGCATTAGCAGCAGAAACATAACATGTTTCAGAATACTAATCCAATTAATGTTGAATCAACAGGAACAACTCGCCCCGAAGTAGCATAATGTTTTCTATTACAGCCTTATTTTTGTGACAGTTTAATGTGCATTCAGTTGGAGAAATCATCATGTGGGAACGTCGAAATAGAATGTAATCATGTATGCTCAAGAAGGACTAATAAGGTTGTTGTAAGCTTTGTTTAAGGGACACATGATTGGGAACTGCTAGTTTGACATGAATTTGTCATAGAACAAATCCTTACAGAGCATGATAGAACCCCATGTGCAGATCCAAGCATCAGCAAACATAATGGTTATACAGGTTCAATAGTATTTGGCCGGATGCATATGTTGCATTAGGCACTGGCGGCTGACTAGTTTTACAGATCAATAGCTATACCTCCCTTCAAGTGAATATATCAAAGGTCGTCGAATCTACTTTTGTACTCCACATGGGAGGCAACTCTATGCAAAGGGATGTTTATTGAGTCAGAGAAAGGACACCACTAATTTTGTAAGAAGCCTCAATATAACGAAAAAAGTTTGTAAGGAGCCTTCTAAACCCTATCAAGGCAACTGAAACCAAGGGACATGAGAGACTGAAAACCAAAAACAAAAGGTTCAATATAAAACCAAGGCACCAAACCAGAAAGCACTGGAAAATATTGTATTTTTCCTTAAGATAATCGTTTCAGTGCAAATAGGGCATCAGAATCGCCAAAAAGAAGGCACCGGAAAAGTTCAGGCAACTATCGAGGGAATCAAAGGCAAGCAGAGGGTAACGCTCATGTAACCATCAAAATTCAAAGGAATCCACATTTACAACCGAAAGAAAAAAGAGCTCCAAAGGTAGCAATGAAACTAAACAAGGCTGAAAAGTCATTAATGGGCAATCCTACATTCCTACTTATCAGTTTTCCCCTAACAAGTTGAAGCAACTAATGACAGAACATAAAGATGAGTCAGTAAATGGAAATGTCCTCAACTATCTGCACTAAATGGTAATAACATATTCTCATGCATCACACCACGAGAGGAAAAAAGCACGAGTAGGTGAAACATTTGACTGCAAAATGAGAAGCTATCCCCTACAGGAATAACTATATAGAGAAGACATCAAAACATAGTGCTCCCCACCCCATCAATATCTGAGGATACTGAAATCCCAACCAAAACGAACAGAATTCACCATGTAGCTGTTCATCATGACAATAGATGAGAAAGCTAAATGAATATACTAGAAGGGAATCTAGCACCTAAGCCATAACATATACCTGTATGTTGTCTGTAACCTTGAGAACCAACTTGCCTTCACTGTGTCTGTACTTCATAGCGTACCGTGTCTATGTCCCACAAATTTCAATGGCATGTAACAATTGCAAACAAAAGCAAGACAAGTTAGTAGACCCATTACAGAGAGCATGGTTTCCCTTTAAACATTATTTCCAATTCTCTAACCAGAGGGACCAGCTATAACAGTTGGAACTTAGGGTTTCACATTCATGTAAAACACGATCACCCGCTCAATTACCCCTCACCCCAACAAAATTTACAGTCAATCTCTTCCAACAACCTTTCCGAAAACACAACAAACGAGAGAGTTAGAGAGCAAGAAAGCGCACCGAATCCGGATCAGCGCGGAACAACTGTACTGATCGCTCAACAAACTCGTCCCAAGAAGTAATGTAAACCATTGAACGGAGTCGCAAGGAACTGAGAGAGAAGAAAATCCTTACTCCGTCTCGGTCTTCCCTGGCAGATTAAGGGCATCAGTTTTACACAGAACCAACAAACACAAAAATTTATGATACTGAGTAGCGAAAGTTCGCCCCCTAACCCCTCCCAATCCCTAATTGTAGACAATCATGGTTGACACTGAAGATTGTTGATTGCCAAGGAGTGTGAGACGTACCTCAAGAGAAGCCGGCCGGATTCAACTGAAGGTCTCCAAAGCCCAAACCCTATGAAAGAGAGGGAGGTGCAGGAGAATCGCAGACGAGATACAAGGGAATATGATAGCCGGGAAAAAGAAAAAACGAAGTGCTGAACCGCTTCGATTCTGATTTAAGCGGAGTTACCATTCAAAGAGGCAAAGAATAAAAAGTTTTGAGGAGTTATTTTGAAAAATATTTTTGTAATTTGTATTTACAATATTAATTTTCAATTTTAAACAATTGAAACTAGTTATAGCAATTCTAATGAATTGAGATGGAAATTCTAAATAAATTGCACAAGTATTTTACTAATAATAATAGAATGGAATTAAATAAGTAAATTACTTCTATATATATATTATTTGGCGCCAGTACACACATTATGAGCGTCTAATCCTCCTCTTTCTACCCATATATTAACATAAAATATATAGTTTCTCCTAAACTCTGCATTACATGCGATTCCATATCAACACATACTATAATACGCTGAAGCAAAAAACAGAACCCCCATTTCAAAATCGCAGCCTCCAGAGTGTTTGTCGGAGGGGTAATTTCGGAACGACAGTTTTGAAGGTTGTAAATCCGAGCCTCCTCCTCTCTCCTTTGAAGGTTGTCAATCAGGAGCCCCATTGCTGATTTTTTCTCCCCAATCTGAGCCTGCCTCTCTCCTTCCTCCGCCATTGTCAATCCGAGCCTCCTCCTCTCTCCTTCCTCCGTCTTCACCGGCAACGGGCCTGCTGAATTTTCTCCCAGTCTATCTCAGCCTCCCTCTCTCCGTCCTCCGCCGGTGTCTATCCGAGCCTCCTCCTCTCTCCGTCCTCCGTCTTCACCACCATCGGCCCTCTAAATTTTCCTCCCAGTCAATCCGAGCGTCCCTCTCTCCGTCCTCCGCCGTTGACAATCCGAGTCTCCACCTCTCTCCAGCCCTCCGTCTTGACCGCCGAAATCGTTCAGTATCCCGGCAGCCCTCTCGCACTCTTGAGGTGATCTTTCCTTCTTTTGTGTTGTTTATATTTTTAATTCATTCATCTCAATCGATCCCAACGTCTTTGGTTTTCTAGCTTCTGTTTTGATTAGGTTCAAATTGTATTGAAAGGGTTTGTGTTTTTATACATAATTGCTAGGTGATTACAGTTCAAGGAACGTTTGTGGAGGCTTGAGGTTTAATAAGAGAGGACAGTAAAGGGGTTTGAGCTTGCGGCCAGTTTGGTTCATAAGGATATTGGTATTACATTATACATAATTGCTAGGTAACATTACGTTTGTGGTGGATTCGGTGTGTGTGTAAAAGGGGTTTGAGCTTGCGGATCACCTCATTAACATCTCTTGGGAAGACAGTAATCAAACTACAGCTGTACTGTTTTCAGGCCGTCCGTGCACGCAGGCCGTTCGAGGATTGTTCTGCAGGGGGCAGAATTCATCCATTTTCCAGCCGTTCGTCAATCCTCTCGGTGTCTGCGGTTGTACGATTGGGTTTCGGTGCCTCTCCCTTCAATCGCGGTTCCAACTACGTACTTGCATTTTCAAGAGGATTTCGTCAAGTCGAGGGGTCAGGGCACTGACATATGTGGCCTGATCAGAATTGGATTCGTTCATCAGCCTCAAATAGTGAATTCTGAGGTCCCTTTCAAAGCTGAGATTCCAAGTAAGTTATCTTTCCCTAGCTTTTTCAACTTTGGTTTAGCATTCAGGGGTGCTCATTCAGGGGTGCTCATGATTTAGTTGTTGTGTTTATTAAGCTTTCTCTGGCGGCATTTTGGTCTGCTTCCATGTCGACGGCCATGAGAGTTTATAGTGAAGCTTCATTACTTCTAAATTCCCTTGCATGACTGTCTGATTTATCTTTCAGTTTTGCCTCAATCTCATCTTTCGGTTTTGCTTACATAAGTGTGCTTTATGAATTTATTTGCCTGTTTTCGCTCTATGTAATCTGCATATGATTTCAAGTGTCCTGTCTTATTTTCAACAGCTTAGTTATGTTTGTTAGCAGAGCCTTTCATAATTATATGAATATTTGCAAGAGTTGCAAAAGAATGAGATCTATATAGTTTTGGATAGTATCTTAATTTCAACTTTCAAGATATATGAATGCTCTTTCATTCCATATCAGTTACCTTCAACCCTAATCTTTTCATCATCACATGTTTAACGATACAATTAGAAAACATTTTTTTAGGTGTCGTAGGCCTCATTGTAGTTTTGTCTTCTGTTTCTTGGTGGTTCACTAGGTAAGGCAAGTTCCTCAGGGTTGATTTGGCAATCCGTGGCTAAAATGTCGACGTTGACTGATCTGTGCCTTTTCGTCGAGCAACTTGCTTTGGCAGAACTATACAAAAATTATACGATTACCTTAAATATATCAACTTTAATTAGTTGCTTTCTTTGAAAAATGCTTATATCATTTGTGTTAATTGCTGCTTTACAAGGACGGGAAAGTCTGTGTAGTATGCTTTAAAGTAACTTAAAATTTGTTCCCTTCGACAGAGCACAAGTATGAGATTGTGAAGAGGCTACAAGAGAAGAAACACATTTGTGGAATGACGGGAGATGGTGTGAACGATGCTCCTGCACTGAAGAAGGCTGATATTGGGATTGCAGTTGCTGACGCAACTGATGCAGCTAGAGGTGCTTC